TTTATATATATCATTTTTTTAATCTATTAAGAAGTTTATGTGTTATAAATGTTAAAAGAAATTTTTGGCATTCAAGCGAATGTTACACGCACTAATTAAAAAAAAGAGAAAGGATTTGCACACTGACTGTTAATATTAATATTAATAAAATCAAGGGGTAAAACCAAAAATCCGTTGAAACGAGGGTTCGACTGTATTTAATAATCTCACAAATTGCACTTTATTTTATCTGTAGTAATAAATTTGCTTGTAACACTATTTTATCATCACATTTTTCGACGGTCAATTCAAGAGTACACACAAATTTTGTTGTCTTTTGTTGGTATTTATATTTTAGTTATTGCTATTGTAAAATGTTGTTAATAAACAATACAGGATTAAATTCTCTTTATCCGTGTTCACAATCAATTAAACATGAGATATTGTGGTAATGCTTACAGTATCATTGTTTTTTAAATTAATAGATAGGAAACATTATCAATGCAATAAATATAAATATAAATGTAAATGTAAATGTAAATTAAGAATGCGACTTTGCTTCTATAGAAGAAAATACAATTTTCACATGGATACGATGAAACTATTACAGCATTTTTCTCCTCAACATTTTCTTTATCGGCATATCCATCAATTATCTTGGCAATATTTTCGTCTCTAGTACTAATTACGTTCGTTACATAAATATTATCATCATACTCTATTCCTTCCATCCATCATATCGTTATTATCATTACCACTAGCATTATACTCCTCGGGGATCGGAGGTCTGATTGACCTTTTTTCTGAACAAAAGATTAGATTATAAAATTTTAATACTTGAATCTCAAATGATGTTTAAGTGCGTATTTTTGCACTAAAAGAACTATTTTTTTGATTTAATTTGTCGTATTTGGTGGCTTATTATGATTAGAAAAGTATAAAGATTTGTTGTTGCTACTGCTGTTGCCCTCTTTGTCAAAAAGGTAACAATATAAAGAAGTTAGGTTTTAATTTATAGAGAATTTATTCAACTAAAAATAATGACATGTTGTTGAATCTGTAACAATGGCGATCTGGCCATGATGATCAGTAGTAGTAGTGGGTATGATTTTGGTGGAACGACGCGAAAAAATTTTTCTTTGAATTAAAGAATAAAAAACAATAAAAACGATATAAATATGGCTACTTTTATTACTAAATTACCTTTAAACTATAAACATGATGCATGCAAGTCTCTCTTCTATTTTTGAATTTATCTTTGCTAAAAAAATTTATTAGGTAGACGCGTTAATGAAAAAAGATTTACCAAGTATTATTTTCTTTTCCTTTAGTGAGTATCGCTAAATTTTTAGCAGAATTTCGACCAAATAGCGAATCACAAGATAATAGTAGTTTTATGGATGTTGATGGTGTTGATATAAGCCCAAATCCATGTAAATATAAAGAACAACTGGTATATATAATTTTTTTTTTAATCACTTAATATCTAATTATACAATCGTTAGATTCATCAATTAAAATAATTTTTTTCATTTGATAAAATAGCAATTAATAGCAAATAGAGAAAAAAAGTCTATAACGATTGAACTTGATGATTTTGCCACGGTAAATAAATTATTATTATCATTGATTCAAAATTCAGAATTTTAAATCAATCAATCAATCAATCAATCAATCAATCAATCAATCAATCAAATAATTTATTCATTTATTATTTATTAGTGGGAAGATCAACTTGAAGACAGTTTACTCGAAAGAATTCAAACAAATATAAGAAGATATCATGATATATTTCAAGATGAGATTGATAAATTGTTACCAGCTCCTACAAAAGAAATAGATTATGAAAGTGATGTAATAGATGTTATTATGCAACACAGAAGAGATAAAGATGAACAAAATTTACCTGAAGATCGTACAATTTATCCTCCCTCTTTAACAAGAAGATAGTTAGTTATTTTTTAATATTATATTGATTTATATATTTAATTGTTTTTTTATAATATCGATTGTCCTAACAATAAAATATATAATTAGTGCACTTTATTTCAAACCCTTGTCAACTGAAACACCTTTAGCAATTCGTGAAGTGAGTGGTAAATATGTTGGTCATCTGGTGACAGTTCAGGGTATGATCATTCGTGTCAATGATGTCAAGCCATTTTTGTTGGTTGCTGGTTATTCATGTGAAATGTGTGGCAATGAAGTATTTCAAGAAGTAACAAAAAAGCTTATACTCCACTTGTTGACTGTCCAACGGAAAAATGCAAAAAGAATAGAATAAGGGGGAGATTGTTAATGCAGACTAAATCTTGTAAATTTTTACCTTTTCAAGAGGTAAAAATGCAAGAAATGGTAATTAATCAATTACACATAAATAATTTTATGTATTTTTTTTTTAATAAGAAAATTTAACCATTATGATTATTATTATGATTATATATTGTGTCAGACTGAACAAGTACCTGTTGGTCATATCCCCCGTACAATGACTATATTATTATATGGAGAAGTGACGCGTTCAATGAATCCCGGTGATGTGGTAAATGTTTCAGGAATATTTCAAGCGACACCACATAAAGGATACAAAGGCAGTACTAGTCTTTTGACTGATGTCTATCTAGAAGGTCAATACGTTAATCAACTTAAAAAACAATACGATAAAATGGAAAAAACACCAGAAGTTGAAGAAAAATTAATGGGATTACGTGGAGATCCTTTAATTTATGAAAAATTATCAAGTAGTATTGCGACCACCATCAAAGGTTGTGACTAACATCTATATTCTTGATTGGTATTATTTGGATAGTGTGTCTAAAGGTTGGTTGGTAAGCATCATCATAATTTATGTCATCGCCATATCAATTCTATCTTCAATATATTATCATAATAAAAAAAGTTAATTCTGAAATTTCAAAAGATTTAAGAATAATGATTTAACAAAAAAGTCAAAAGTTTTAATATGAATATTAATTGAATTATAAATTACAAGTATCTCTATCCCGATTCTATTTAATTATTTATATCTATAATAAAAGAATCAAATTAATAATATAATATATAATTGACACAAATAATGAGTATATATAATAATCGATTATAAATACATGACAAGTATCTATTAACGAACATCCTTCCTGTGTAATTAATATAAGAAATATAATAAAAATGTAAATAATAAAAATAAAATTAATAATTTATTTGTCAAACTATTCATTATTTAAATTTTCTTTAAATATAATTGTAATGTTTAAAATATTTAAATACTTTACTAGTTTTACAAGTTTACTCGCAAGACATGAATCTTCTATTGTCACTCAAAGACAAAAAAAACTTTGAGACCTTGATTCTTTTCCGCTCTTTTATTAACCTCACTTGAAAATTTTTTACAAAATAAAGAACATGAAAAATAAACAACGTGGAAATTTTGGTGACAATTGATACAAAGCAAGGGTATAAAATAAGGGACTGAAGACATTCAATTCGAGTTTTTATTAGTAAAATTTCAACGTCGATCAGCCAAAATTTCTGGCAAAACGACCTGCCCCTTAATTTTTAGGATTTGCACACTGACTGTTAATGGATGAATATATATATAATAATTTTGAATTTTCTTACATCTATAATTAATGGATGAATGTATGTATAATAAATTTGAATTTTCTTATGCTCATAATATATGGATTAATATATATATATATAATAAATTTGAATTTTCTTATATCTATGAATTTTCTTATGTCCATAATAAATGGAATTAATGGATGGATATATATGAATTTTCTTATGTCTATAATTATTGGATGAATATAATCTTCCAAAGTTTCATAAATGGGAGCTTCAATTGCATTGTTGTCAGTAGTCATCTTAGACCTTTTTGTTCATTTTATTCTATGATATATGATGACCTTGAATTATCTATCTTTTTAAATGCTCAATAAAATAATTATTAGCAACAAGTTGATTATTATGTTTTTCAAATAGAATAATTTTCTAAATAATTAATGAAAATAATTCAGGAAAATACTTAGCCAAAAGTTTTGCTCTTTCAGTTGGTTTTTCTCCTGATGCAAAACGCCATTCTGATTCTCCTTAGTTTCACACTGAACTAAAAGAGTATTTCGATATCTTTCAACAAGAAGCATGGTAAATCTTTTGATTTGAGTGTTGTATTCATCATTATAATTTATATACATATGATTCTATGAAAAAAAAAAAATTTATTTTTGCAATTTCAAGTTTTATTTCTGAAAAAAACTACTCTGTAAAGCTTTGGGGATGAGTGGGGATTATGAAACTATATATCCAAAAGAATATTATTTAACAGTTATTTTTTAAAGTTTTATATAAAAAAACACAACACAACATAACAGGGGAGTGTTTTCTAAACTCATTTGTAGCGTATATGAATTGATCAACAAAAATTTCTAGAATCGATTTCCAAATTTAGTATATTCCCTGACTGATATTTGGATCACCCAATTCTACTTCATATTTCTTGATAAACTCACACAAGTTCCTATTTAATTGATCATTAAAAGCTACTTGCATCTCCTCATATGAATCTGTATCAATTGTTGAAAGATCAAATCTAAGTACAAGATGTGTGTTATGGGAAGGTGTTGGGTATTTTCCAATATATAATGGACCAAAAAGTTGATCAAAATCATTTACATCGTGAACATCATAATACAAACAAAGGTAAGTAGATTTACCAAAACGATGTGGCCTAAGGACTAGAATTCAAAACTCTGGATCGAGATTCTCTAGCTTCTCAATATATCCTGTCTTATCAACAAATACCGTCCCTGCTCTATGTCAAAAGGCCAATAAGCTATGTTTTCTGTATAGTACTATTGGCTGTAAATGTGTATATAAGGAAACAAGAAATTAGTGACAAATTCACTATCATGCTGACATGTAAGTTGTTCGTGTCTGCTCTTGATTCAAAGAATACCTTTTTCTTTGTCTCACCATCACCATGGTTTTGAAGATCATATTCACATCTAAAGACTCAATATTTAGAATTTGATTTTTATTACTAGTTGTAGTTTTAAATTTCTTTGGCCTATATCAGAAAGTTTTATTTTCTTTTTTTAATCTTTTTAATTTTGGGTAAATTTACATAAATACATAAAACTAGAGTGGCGACAAGTGGCAATAACCACCACCATTCTTATAATAAACACTTACTCATTTGCCTCTTTATTTTTTTCATGTGTTCTTCTTTTGTTGTTTTGGCTAAACATTTTTTAGAAAAAAAATAAGAAATTATTTGATCAACAAAAACACAGCATAGTGGACATTTGATTTCATTGGCTAAATTATGTGACGATCTCCCCTCCAGATATCACGCAAAAATTAAATTTTATTGGCTTGAAGATCATTACGTAAATTTGAAAAACAAATATGGTGCGCGAAGCCTATAACCACCATTTTTGCACGTGATTTTTGAAAGAATAGAATTTCATTTCTGTTGATCCTTTTTAAAAAATAACTCTGTTATTGCATAGATTGAGATTCAAACTTTATTGTGACAGAGAGATTTTTTCAAAATATTGATTGGTTATCATGTTCTATTCCTTTTTAGTACATGTATTTTACTATGTTCAAGAAGGACCCCGGAAACTAAATAGATAGGTTATCCTAAAATTTTCAAAATTTACTAATGAGTTTACCCAATATTTTTTGTATTAGATTTACCCAAGTTGGTAATAACTCTCTAATCTTTAATAATAAATTTACCCAAAAATTTCTATGACAAAAAATTTTTTTATTTAAAAAATTTGACTAAAAATAGTGTGAGCAAAATCATGATATTAAAATAAATGAACATAATAAGTTAAATAATTAAAAAATTAATTAAATCAGTTAGGTTAATGTTTGCCTTATTGATTGCTTTATTTAAAGTGTTACATCAACATAAAACCTCACAATTATTACAAGTTTGATTTATTCATTGTAAAGTTTTGACAATTCAAATTCCTAACACATAAAGAAATTTTATCCAATATCCATTTAGCATGACATCTCAAATTATCAATCAATTCATCATGTTCT